ACCCTAAGTGCATTTTAAGGATGGCAACCCGCCAAGAGCGTCCCGCTTCATTTTCATGTTTTGTCCCTGCCTCCATATGAAGTTTCCGACCCATTTTGAACATTATCAGGGGCATTTTCCAAGCTATGTAACTGTAATTTAGAATTCGTAGTTTTTGGTGGTGAAAAATGAGTTTTCGGATTTGTTTTATTTTGACTATATTTTTAGAGAAATTTGCCATTCCGTTGTTGATGGTCACTTACAATTTCCACATAGGTCCATGTTTTGACATAGACAACTTTTACGGTTATATGTAGGCTTTTGGGATGTTCAAAGGATAAAATACCTATAGGTAGAACATTTTCGATTTATTGATATAAGATTCAGCTATACGTTTATTGACCATTGTGGTGGTGTTTTTGATAAAATTAGGAAGTTTCCCTTAATTTATCTATTATTTTAATTTGTATTTTTTTTCAGAGGGTGACACAACAATATATTTGAAAATTGTAACCCACAAACCAGATCCACCTGTTGTTAAGGATCATATGGTTCCTCTTTTGCTGGTTGATTATCAAAATACACCACTAGAGAATTGGGATTTAACAACACAACAAGTAAGAATTAAAAATCATATCAAATACAAATTCAAAACTAACAAAATTTAATTTACAGATACTGCCCTATATTAATGGCATTAATCACATAGCACGAATTGCTGCTGAGGCCGACGTTGAGACAAATCTTGTAAAGTCATGTGTACAAAATCTCGTGTACTATGGTGTTGTACAACTCCTACCAATTCTAAAATATTCTAATGTTTATATGACACAAAATCTAAAAAGTCTCATACAAAATCCTTCACTTACCAACGCTTGTCGAAAATATGTTGCCCTAAAACCAGATAAAGTTAAACCAACAATACAGAAAATCTTTCAATTTTATGCCTCAATGACACATGGTGTAACGTTGCGTGTTATATGTCAACGTCTATGTCCACAAAATCATAATATCGATGAAAGAAAATTAGTTATATTCGGGTTGCAGCATAAATTTATACGTTGCATACATAAATATCCGGTATTTACGGGTTCGGTGCCATCGGGGCGACAAAAAATGTATACGGGATTATCGAATTTTGATGAAATTTGTTGTAAGACCGGTCTTTCGCCTTCCAGTATAGAAAAAGATATAGACAAGGATACAAATGTTACGGTTATTTGGAAATGATTTATTGATATAAGATTCAGCTATACGTTTATTGACCATTGTGGTGGTGTTTTTGATAAAATTAGGAAGTTTCCCTTAATTTATCTATTATTTTAATTTGTATTTTTTTTCAGAGGGTGACACAACAATATATTTGAAAATTGTAACCCACAAACCAGATCCACCTGTTGTTAAGGATCATATGGTTCCTCTTTTGCTGGTTGATTATCAAAATACACCACTAGAGAATTGGGATTTAACAACACAACAAGTAAGAATTAAAAATCATATCAAATACAAATTCAAAACTAACAAAATTTAATTTACAGATACTGCCCTATATTAATGGCATTAATCACATAGCACGAATTGCTGCTGAGGCCGACGTTGAGACAAATCTTGTAAAGTCATGTGTACAAAATCTCGTGTACTATGGTGTTGTACAACTCCTACCAATTCTAAAATATTCTAATGTTTATATGACACAAAATCTAAAAAGTCTCATACAAAATCCTTCACTTACCAACGCTTGTCGAAAATATGTTGCCCTAAAACCAGATAAAGTTAAACCAACAATACAGAAAATCTTTCAATTTTATGCCTCAATGACACATGGTGTAACGTTGCGTGTTATATGTCAACGTCTATGTCCACAAAATCATAATATCGATGAAAGAAAATTAGTTATATTCGGGTTGCAGCATAAATTTATACGTTGCATACATAAATATCCGGTATTTACGGGTTCGGTGCCATCGGGGCGACAAAAAATGTATACGGGATTATCGAATTTTGATGAAATTTGTTGTAAGACCGGTCTTTCGCCTTCCAGTATAGAAAAAGATATAGACAAGGATACAAATGTTACGGTTATTTGGAAATGAAGGGGAAATTTCTGTTTAAGATACGTTTTTTTAATATTTTATTATTTTTTATTTAAGATTATGTAAATCACACACAAACAACCAAAACAAATATAGTACAATAATTACTATTGTAATTAAATAAAAACATTCGACTGAAAAATAAAACTGTTTCATTTGAATAGAGCTATAATTTTTTAACTTTTTTTTGGAAATTGAGATTTATAGATAGTAAATGCGCGAAAAGTTGTAAATAGTACTAAAGTTAGTTATTTTTTAGAAGACAGTGAGCGAATGAAGCTGAATCTAGAACTTTGGAAGGAGGATTGAAGTAAGAAGGTGGTTTTGGAAATGTCGCTATATATTCGAAGATATTTTTATTTCTCTTATATTATTTCTCTCTAATATAGAAACATTTTTGCATATTGCAGAATATTTTTATTACACACGATAAAAACGAATTTTGCACAATTTTGTGTTCTATACAACTTTCAATTATTTCAAAACGTTTTAATTTCTTTTTAATAATCTGACAAGAAAATAACCGATCACTACGACGGAATGAGTGGACAGTTCTAGAACTCTCTTATGGTCTGGGGAATATGAGGGACTTAACGAAGGAAGTTAAAATACTGAGAATAGAACGTAATTAGAGCAGTGGATGTAGGAAATAAAAAAATATAACATGAACATCTCAATGCTATTCGCACCATATGCCACATTATTTATTCTTAATAGCAAATATACCACTTCATATCATTTGTATCTTCTGTTAAGATAGGGCACTTAAGATTTTTTCCATTTGAAATGGATTACAACAAAAATATGAATAGTGCGAGGAAATGTATACAAATATATTACAAGCAGAAAACAACAATCTGGTGCAGTGAATTTACATAGCCGATTCAGAGAATAACGAATTTTAGAATTAAATATAATTCCGTGTAGAGAGGTGTAGAGGTGTGATTTCATATTTTTCATACTATTTTTGAAAAAAAAAAAAATAGTGGATGAAAGCTTTTACAGTTTTTTGGGCTGAAGTCTGAACCCATGCAGTTTGTTTAAAATGACCAATTTGAGATCATATACTTTTAGTCCCAACGAACAATAAGTATACATATAGGATTGTGTAAACTGATATTTAGATGGTATAGAGATAATTATTATATTCACAGCTTAATTAAATCACAGTAGATTTATTTTAGTAGATAAGCGGCTTGATTAATTTCCAGACTAATCCACAGTGTTAAAAAGTAAAACTTTTTGTATAAGCAAATACCATGTGAGGAGCACGTTCTAAATTTACCATTTTTATACCACACTGTGGTACAGGCTATTATGCCGTTGTGAATATGCTTGTAACAGGCAATGGGAAACGAGATGGACACAGGGTTCCTTTGGAGAATATGCATAGAATCACTTTGTGAGTCGATTTATGCATGATCCGAATTTGAATTTGGCCACGGACGAACCCTATTGAAATTGGGAAAAATCAGTTCAGATTTATATATAGCTCCCATATATAATTTCCCCTATTTTATTTTAAGTAAATGGTGCACCAAAGATCTATTGGTACAAAATTTTACACAACGTATTGAAGTTTCTATAACCTAACGTGTGTAAAGTTTCGTTGAAATCGGTCCAGATTTAGATAAATAAATGGTGCACCAAAGTTATGCTGATTGACACAATATTTTGCACAACGTACTAAGTATAACTTAGCGAGTGTAAAGTTTCGTTGTAATCGGTTCAGATTTAGAAATAACTCCCATATATTGTTTCGTGCGATAAATGGTGCACCAAAGACCCAAAGTTATGCCGATTGCCAAGTTCCGTTGAAATCGGTTGATACTTGGATATAGCTTCCATATATATTTTCGTTCGATTTTAAGTAATTGGTGTACCAAACTAATCACGTTTGTCAGATTTACATGAAATTTTGCACAACGTACAAAATCATAAAATGACGTAATTGCATTCCTAGAATATATGTGCCCATCTTTACAGTACCTCAAAAATTTTCAGACTAATCCACAGTGTTCAAAAGTAAAACTTTTTGTATAAGCAAATACCATGTGAGGAGCACGTTCAATGGCGGCTATTCTAAATTTACCATTTTTATACCACATTGTGGTACAGACTATTATGCCGTTGTGAATATGCTTGTAACAGGCAATGGGAACGAGATGGACACAGGGTTCCTTTGGAGAATATGCATAGAATCACTTTGTGAGTCGATTTATGCATGATCCGAATTTGAATTTGGCCCACGGACGAACCCTATTGAAATTGGTATTATTGGTTGTGTTGACGCACAGGAAGTTTCTTCGTCTCCTCATCTAAGTGGTCTATTGGAGTCATGAGAATACACCCTATTGCAGCTCTCAGGGCGGCATTCTGGCAGGAGAGAAGACTTTTCCATTGTGTTGTACTAATCTTAGCGGGTCACACTGGGGCCGCATAGTTTACCACAGACCGGCCTATTACGTTGTATGTCGTTAACAAAGCTTTTTTTTGTCAACTACCCAAGTGCTGCCGGCTAGTGATTTGAGAACCTTGTTCCTGCTCCTGATCGTATCGCAAATAGCTGTGGCATGCTCGGACGACTAATAAGGGTTATCGAATGTGACCCCATAGGTTGCAGCATCTCCGCTGTCCATGTGATAAACAGTGTGATCGTTGATTTATTGGCGTATATTTCTATATTCTTCGCCCGGAAAAAGTCAGCTGTTTCCACGAGATGGTGGTTCAGCAATGGTCCCGATGCCATTATCGTTAATCATCCGTGTACGTTACGATCTTTATGCTATCCGGTGGGCGAAGAATTTTAGAAAGGTAGAGGTTAAAAAGTTCCGGTAGTCGGAGATGTTGATAAGGATTCAATTTTATTCAGACAGTGTCGTCAATCTGAGCCTAATACGAATTGAGTGAGAGAGAGAAAGAGAAAAAGACCACTACATTATTGAAATATGTGTTCAAGCTTTTACATTCGTATTCAATGGCAGGACCAGAGGCCTTGAACGTAAAAACATCACGTATGTATCTTTTGCATATGTTCCATAAAGGTAACGATTAAAAAGTTCCGAAGATATTCCTCAGACTGGGGAACTCTTTGTCTAATGGACTGGAATTCTTTTTCCGATACTCCACTAGCGTCCACATTTTTAATTGTTTATGCAAGGTTTCTCGACGTCCCTTTTTTTGTAATTTGATCGGTATAATATTTTTTAGTAGTCCAATATCTCTCCCTTTTACATTTAAGCCGCTTAATATGATAAAATTTAAATTTAATTGTGAAATGTAGCTTACAGCCTTAAGGTCGAAAGACTGGGCAATATGAAATATAAAATAAATAAATAAAAACTGCCCACATAAAATAACGCAGATTTTCATTCTTCCATGGCAACTCCATAATTTAAATATTTTTTTTAATTTCCCAGCTCCTAGCTTTCATATACATTTCAAACAGCTGTTGTTTAATTTTTGTACTAAAAATCTGAATCTATCAGCTGATTGATATTCTTCCATGTCTCATTCGTAAATATGATAAGAGCTCTTGATTTTTGTTGCAATCTGTAATATTATCATTCATTCTTTGCTTTCTTCCCATATTCCTAGCAGTCGGAATGATTTTGTCTGAATCGGTTTTCGATTAAAGGACGAACTGGTTCGGATTGATTTCACATCTGTTGATAGCTACTACCCAAATTTTGGATAGACAAAATGCAAACAAGTGGTAAACAGTTCTTTGAAGGTTGTGGTAAGGAGGGTCAGATACGATGTATATTTCTAAGTGAATTCCATGCCACTGCAGGTTCCAAAATAAGTTGTCAGGTATGTTGAGACTTCTATAATAAATCTGAATTCTTATCATATATTCACATCTCTCTTTGGAAATAGGTTCCGCCGGATTATGTCCAGAAAGACGTGTTCGATGCCATCAGTGTTTACATTATACCAAAGCCGCATTTACAAAAATGTATTCTCACCGTAAATGCTATGGATATCAAAATTGTGGGCTATCCCGTTGGTATAGAGGATCAACAGAAATATGCACGAAATGCATTTTTGTTTAATCTGTGTTTTGTATGTGACTCATGGGCAAGATCGGTACAATATGAACCAGTTGTCAAGAAGCTCTCGGAATATTTGGTATCT